AAAAAAAAAAAAAAAAACAAATCTGGAGGCATCACATTGCCAGACTTCAGGTTATATTACAAGGCTACAGTGATCAAAACAGCATGGTACTGGCACAAAAATAGAGACATAGATCTATGAAATAGAATAGAGAATCTAGAGGTGAACCCAGCCACATATTGTCATTTAATCTTTGGTAAGCTTAATAAAAACATGAAATGGGGAAAAGAATCCTTATTTAACAAATGGAGTTGGGAGAACTGGTTATCACATGCAGAAGACTGAAACTGGACCCACACCTCTTACCGTTGACAAAAATTGATTCTCATTGGATAAGATTTAAATTTAAGACACAAAACAATAAAAATTCTAGAAAAGAGTATGGGGAAAACATGTGAAGAAGATATCAGCCTGGGAAAAAACTTTATAAGGAAGACAGCCCCCCCCCCCCAGCAATTGCAGCAACACCAAAAATAAATAACTGGGAATTGATCAAGCTAAAAATCTTTTACACAGCTAAAAGTACCACAAACAGAGCAAATAGCCTTCAGAATAGGAGAAGATTTTGGCATGTTATGAATCTGACAAAGGCCTGTTAGCTAGAATCTTTAGAGAACACAAACATTAAGAAAAGTGCAAAGAATCCTCTCTAAGTGGGCAAGAGATATGAACAGAAACTTCTCCGAGGATGATAAACGGATGGCCAACAAACATGAAAAAATGCTCATCCTCTTTAATAGTCAGAGAAATGCAAATCAAAACCACTCTAAGATATCACCTAAACCCAGCAAAATTAGCTCACATCACAAAGTCCCAAAACACCAGATGCTGGTATGGATGTGGAAAGAAGGGTATACTTCTATACCACTGGTGGGAATACAAACTAATACAGCCTTTTTGGAGAGAAGAATGGAGAATCCTCAAAGATCTAAAAGTAGATCTTCCAATTCCACCTGTAATCCCAATTATTAGGTGTCTACCCAGAAGAACAAAATACATTTTACCACAAAGACATTTGCACTAGAATGTTTATTGTGGTTCAATTCATAATTGCCAAGTCGTGGAAGCAACTTAAGTTCCCATCAACTCATGAATGGATCAACAAACTATAGTATATGTATACCATGGAATATTATTTAGCCCTTGAAAAAGATGGATACTTTACATCTTTTACATTTACCTGGATGGAGTTGAAATACACTCTTCTTAGTAAAGTTATCTCAAGAATTGAAAAATAAATATCCAATGTATTCCATCCTGATATGAAATCAATATATAAGCAATTACATGTTCCTAAGAACAATACAACACTATTACAGTCTAGTTTGGGGGTAGAGGTAGTGGGAAGACATATAGCAGAAGGAGGAGAGCATGAGGTAGGATCTCACCTACTGTGCACATTGTGAGGGTGTATAACACATCCCCCGAGTGAGGGGCTCTTCTACAAATGGAACTTTACCCTGAAAGTGAGAACAATGTAACCTTAATATTGTACTCTCATATTAATTTGAATAAAGTTAAGGAAAAAAAAAAAAGAAATACCAACACATATCATTTGTTTCTTTGAATTTTTATCTTTAACTCTACATAAGTTTTAACAAACTCATCTTTGATGTGGTATCAGAGGTAGAAAGTGCTAGAACAAATCCTACCAATTCAGTTATTTTTTTTAGAAATAAGAGTCTCACTTTATCACCCTCAGGAGACTGCCATGGCATCACAGCAACCTCCAACTCCTGGGCTTAGGTGATTCTCTTGCCTCAGCCTCCCAAGTAGCTAGGACTACAGGTGCCTGCCACAACGTCTGGCTATTTTTTTTGTTGTTGTTGTTGAAGTTTGGCTGGGGGCAGGTTCAAATCTGCCACCTTTGGTATATGGGGCCGGTGCCCTACCCACTGGGCCACAGGCGTCTCCCAATTCAGTTATTTTTATAGGCCAATATAGCAACATGCAGCAATACCCCCCTAAATCTAAACAACTAGGCAATATTAAGGATGTATACTCCAATAAACTAAATAAACTGAATGTAGAGATGTGATAGAGAATTTACTAATAAGCCTATGAAGACTATGAGAACCTGTCCTATGCCTTATTTAATTCAGTAACGAGAATGCTCAGAATACAACCTAAAAGTGGGTGTTATATAAATGGCTACTAATTAATATTAATGCACATGAAATATGCTTATCATTTAACTCCTAAAAATTATTAACTGTGCAAGAATTATCATAAAAATTTCAATATAAACATTCCTCTACCTATTATGGTAGAGAATAGCATTTTTTAAAAATTAGAAATGTTTCCCAAGGACTTTTCTTTCACAAATACCCCCAATTAAAATTGTAAGATAGATGGAATATGGCTCCTAATATGCCAAGGTGAACCAATAGTAAGTATAAGTATTGAGAGACATTTAGACTTTAATACAGTACCTGTGGAAGAACCAAATTTAGGCATTTTTTTATCTCATATTTTCTGAAATATTTTACAAAGCTCTAACATAATTTTTAAATAAAATTTAATTCACCAAGTTCTCTTTTATGGCAAATGAAAATAATTAGAAATTTAATGATGCTATTTTTCAAGTTATTCCAATACAGTGAAAACATTTAGGATGAAGGTATATTTGGTAAAATGATGATACTCTCAGCTGTTGTTCTCTTTACCGTTTCAGAGCCTTTGCTAAGTCACATGCAAATGGTTTCGGAGATTGTGGTTCCTACAGTCTGCACACTCTGTGTACTCACTGCTGCTGTTTTGCTCATGCTTCTCCTAAGGAGGCAGAGCTGAGGCAGCAGCATCATATTTAGAGCTTCATCTTTCATGGAGAATCTTCAGGATCTTCCTCTGTTTTCTGCTTTGAAGGTTTACATAAATTTCTGTTTTCAGGCTCTACAATAATTTATCTTTTTTCTCTTTCTTTTTTGGCTTGTGCTAGGACATAAGAATTAGAAAATAAAAATAAGCATAAATGAAATAAAAATCACTTGTAAACTCACCCCTCCCAAAGTTAATGTTAAGATTTTGCTGTATATTATGAATGTATTTTCATTTTACAAAAATGGAATCATGGTATACATTTTTGTGACTTGGTATTTTTTCAGTTTTAAATGTGTCCAGAAATGTTACTTTAACATATAAATGACTGCCATCTATTTTAGCACTGTCCTATTTGAAACAGACTCAATCTGTAGATAACAATCCTTTCAAGCTGTAAATACTACACATATTAGCTAACCAAGGAAAAGCATCAGAAGGATCCCAAGTAAATGAGCACATATACTTTTCTAAGATAAACTTCTTACACTGAATTCAACTCACTTTACTCAATGACATACCACAAAGAAATAGCTGGAGTATTTAACATATATTTATCCGCTGGGTAACTAGATATTTTGTTTTTTAAAATAAAGGTCAATTTTATTGTTAACTATGTTAAAATGCTAAAATTAACTAATTTTCATTTATCTGGGGACAAAACACAGCTTAAGAGAAAGAATGACATCAGGCATTTTACTCATTATCTGATTTTAATATTGTTTCTGAAACCCCAAGGCAATAACACAGATAGTAGAAAATGTTATTCCATTAATTTTTTTGGTTAATATGCTCTCAAATCAAAAAATTTTGAAAAGAGACAAAATTGTTTTTAACAAAACTAGTTCTTAATGTCAAATTGATATATGTACATTCAGGGTTTTCCTCTTCTTTTGAAATCAAACTCATTTTCTACTATATATACAGATTTAAGTGCAAAGACATCATTCAATTTTTTTCCGTTTCTCTGGTTTTAGGATTAAATTGACCTATTAAGTTGACTACAAAGGTAGAAAGAAAATTAAAGACTTGCACTGCTCAATAATATCTGGTAAGCCTTTTATGTGATTATTGATAAATAATTCCTATTCCCAATACATTAAAATCAGTACTTATGTTGTAGAATGAACAAAAATATAAGGTACTTAATACAAAGTAAACAAACACCTTACAGAGGACTCCACCACCATCCTTCACTTGAAATGCACCTGGCTGCAGGTAACCAAGTTAGTAAAGGACATCCTTTCTTCCAGGCTACCGTTTAGTGTTAATTCGGAAAAGTCTGTAACCAGAAAGACAGTGAGATCAGAATTGCTTAAAATCTTGCTGGCTTTTCTACCATATATAATGCTGAATTTTATTTATTTATTTATTTCTGAGACAGTCTTACTGTGTCGCCCTCAGTAGAGTGCCGTGGTGTCATAGTTCATAACAACATCAAACTCTTGGGCTTAAGAGATCCTCTTGCCTCTCCCAAGTAGCTGGGACTACAAGTGCCAGCCACACTGCCCAGGTATTTTTTTTTTTAGAGATAGGGTTTCTCCCTCTTGCTAAGGCTGGTCTTGAACTCCTGACCTCAAGCAATCCACCCACCTTGGCCTCTCAGAGTGCTAGTATTACAAGTGTGAGCCACCGTACCAGGCCTAATGCTGAATCTTAATATAGCACAATAATCAACAGGTAATCTGAACAGCTTGTCTCTTCTACTTTAAGAGATTTGTTAGAAAAAAAATAGTAAGGACAACTGCTTTAAATATTAAACCTCTTGATGTGTTTAAAATACAAACTAAAATATGAAGCAGATTTTAAAAAAATGATTTCTTATAAACTTACTGCTTTATTTTTTGTGTGATACCAACTATAGTTAAACAACTTTTTTCTGATTGTAACATAAATTTCAGAAAACAATTTTTCTTTTTTTTTGAGACAGAGTCGCGGCTTGGTGCCTGTGGCTCAAGTGGCTAAGGCGCCAACTACATACACCTAAGGTGGCAGGTTCGAATCCAGCTCGGGGCCCGCCAAACAACAATGACAGGTGCAAACCAAAAAATAGCCGGGCATTGTGGCAGGTGCCTGTGGTCCCAGCTACTTGGGAGGCTGAGGCAGGAGACTTGCTTAAGCCCAGGAGTTGGAGGTTGCTGTGAGCTGTGATGCTACGGTACTCTACCCTGGGGGACAGCTTGAGGCTCTGTCTCAAAAAAAAAGAGATACAGAGTCACTTTTTGTTACTGTTAGTAAAGTGCCATGGTGTGACAGCTCACAGCAACCTCAAACTCTTGGGTTGAAGCAACTCTCTTGCCTCAGCCTCCCGAGTAGCTGGGACTACAGGGGCCCGCCACAATGCCCGGCTATTTTAGAGACAGGGTCTTGCTCTTGCTCAGGCTGGTCTCAAACCTGTGAGCTTAGGCAATCCACCTGCCTCAGCCTCCCAGAAGATGTTTTATTTCAAAAATAAATAAATCATGCTTAGAATCCTATCACTTCAGGGGGGGAAAGAAGAAAGTATCACTTGAACTCAGGGGTTTGAGACCCTTGTGAGCAAGAGACCCTGTCTCAACTAAAAATAGAAAATTTACCATGACTGCATTAATGTACACAGGTATGATTTAATTTAAAAAGAAAAAGAAATAGAAAATTTAGCCAGGCATGGTGGTGCATGCCTTAGGAGGCTGAGGCAGAAGGATCACTTGAGCCCGGAGTTTGCAGTTAGTTACAATAAGCTATGATGACAATACTGCACTCCTGCCTGCATGATAGAGCAAGACTGTGTCTCAAAAAAATAAAAATATAAAATAAAAAAGTAAATAATCCCATCAGCATTTAGATGGGATTGTGTTCACTTCTTTGTGGTTCAACATTTTGGTTTCATATTTTCACCACTATCAACAATCATTTACTAAGCACCCACTGGGTGAGCTGCACTCTGTTGGACACTGTTTTTCCTTCCCTGGTAACTCCAAATCATTATTTTCTCTTCCCATGGTGACTAACAATATACCTTTCTCTTTTATGTCTCCCTGCTTTTGATGCCAACTATTTCACTCAAGAGCATCATACCAACCAGAAATCTCGAAAAGCTAGTATTTGACCTAAGTGCTCAATCCTGTGAAATAAAGTCTAAATTTTAAAAGCATAACATATTTTTGCCAAAAATTAAACACTTGGGAGTCTTGTTTGAGTAGCCCATCACTCTTACAAATAAGATTCCCCTTCAAGAGCAGGTCTTGGTTTTGGGTCAAAAGTCACTGAATAATTTCTAAATAAATACTACAAGAATATATGATGGGTAGAAGAGGTTATAAAGTTCAAGCCAAAATGGGGTTTGACTGCATTTCCAAGCACAAGCACATAAATACATGATTTCATAAGAATTACTTATTTTCATAAAAGGAGTCACTGGACCAATGCATTAGAAAATTGTTTTAACTCCAACATTCAAAATAACTTTCACTCTTTTTCACTACAACCTATATCAAAAAGATTTTAAAAGATATGTTCATGGGCAGCACCTGTGGCTCAGTGGGGAGGACGCTGGTCCCTTATACCAAGGGTGGCGGGTTTGAACCCAGCCCCGGCCAAACTGCAACAACAACAAAAACAAAAAGATAGGTTCATTATACTTTGCTTAGTCAGCATCATTGGAAAAGGATGCTTCATCTTGCATGAATTTCCTCATAATAGGTTTAATCTTTATATATCTAATAAAGTTACTTTAAAATAGCATTTTCCAAGAATGTATCACATGTTCACGTCTTTAAAGCTTTGTTTTTAGTCAAAATACATACGTGTTTTCTTCTTTAAAAAAAGAAACAACATATGTAGATAGGACATTTAGTTTAGGTTGGGGGTTCTCAGCCACGGGTGGAACACACAATTACCTAGAGAACTTCACAAATTACTGATGTCCTGGCTCCACTCCCAGAGACTCTTAAATCAAAATCTCTGGTCTGGAGATTAGAAATTTAAAAGCTCCCTAGATAATTTAGCCAAAGCTGGGAACAAGCACTGCCACATTATTTCATATCTCTGGGACTGGTTGTATCCTTCCAGACATTTTTCTATGCCCCAGTTTGCATGTTTTTGCTGAAGCAGACAATAGCGCAATTAATAACCTTGTTCTTAGGTCTGTACGTGTCTGGTTATATGCATGTAATAAAAGTCCTACTGATGAAACTGATAGGCCAAAGGATGTATTCTCTTACAATTCTGATGGGCATCACCCTTCACAGAAGCTGTACAACTTTACATGCTAATCGGCAATGTGTGAGGTTCACTGCCTGCTCCCCATACCTTTGCCAGCACTGTGACACCAAGCTTTTTGGTCTTTCCTACTCTGACAGGTAAAAAATGGTATCTATTTATTTGCATTTCTCTTATTATAGATGGAGATTGAGCACCTTTTATTTTTAAGATGACATTTGAATCTAATTTTTGGTAAACTGTTTTAGCTGCCCTTTTTTATTGAGTTTCAAATATTTTTCTTACTGATGTGAAAATTCTTAATATACTAGGGAATATAGTCCCTTTTCTGAACATGAGCTGCAAATTTCTTTTCCTAGTTTTTCATTTGTCTGTTGTTTTGCCTCTGATTTTTTTGAGACAGAGTCTCACTATGTTGCCCTCAGTAGAGTGCCATGGTGTCATAGCTCACAGTAACCTCAAACTCTTGGGCTTAAGCAATTCTCTTGCCTTAGCCGCCCAAGTAGCTAGGACTACAGGCACCCACCACAATGCCTGGCTATTTTTCTGTTGCAGTTGTCACTGTTGTTTAGCTGACCTGGGCCGGGTTTGAACCTGCCAGCCTCGGTGTATGTGGCTGGCACCATAACCACTGTGCTACAGGAGCTGAGTCTGCCTCTGATACTTTTGCAAAGTAAAAATCTTTCTATTTTTATAGAGTTGATTTTCAATCTTTCAAAAGCTTCCACATACTTAGAAAAGATACAGCACAATTTTAACTGATGGCTCTAAGGAAAATTCTTTCAGTTTTGTTGGGACTTTTACAGTTCAGCTATATAAACATAGCTTCTAACTGAGAAATATTTCCATTATGCTTGAGTAAACATTTTCTGGAAATGTATCTTCAAGGTATCAACAGCAAAACACAATCATCTGTATTCCCAGCAGTGGCTGATTATAAGCCTTTGAAATCTTAGATTCCATATGAAAACTATCAGATTTATTTTCAAATAATCCTTACATATTGGAACACACTTGTTTAAGACTTATAACAGCATCACATAACCCACGTGCATGAAGATAAGGAGTTTTGTAGGGGCTTATTGAAGGGGAAAGACTTGGTGAGCAGGTTATTAATAATTACACAAAAGTCCTTTTTGACTATAAAGGACCATTTCTGATAGAGTACTAGAAATCTCAACCCTTATCCTAGCCACAGAGAAGACATTATGGCAGAAATATCATCATCACCATCTTAAATAGTGCCCCAAAGTGTGAAATATGAACTGGCATTTCTATCTCATAACCTCTTTTGACCTCTATTATTTACTTATTTTGTCACCACTTGTCACCTGGGTAGAGTGCTGTGGTGTCATAGCTCAACAGAAAGAGACAATAGTATAAACAACCTCAACTCTTGGGCTCAAACAATTCTCTTGCCTCAGCCTCCCAAGAGGCTGGGACTACTGCTACAACACCTGGCTATTTTTAGAGACAGGGTCTCACTCTTGCTCAGGCTGGTCTTGAACCTGTGAGCTCAGGCAATCCACCGCCTAAGCCTCCCAGAGTGCTAGGATTACAGGCATGAGCCACCAGGCCCAGCTTCCATAATTTATAGATTGGATTTTTCTAGGCATTATACTTGTACAGAAATCATGATAGGAATTGTTTTTAAAGAATAAATATGGGCTCAGCACCTGTATCTCAGTGGTTAGGGCACCAGCCACTTACACTGGGGCTAGCAGGTTTAAACCCAGCCAGGGTTTAAACAACAATGACAACTACAATGAAAAAATAGCCAGGCATTGTGGTGGGCACCTGTAGTCCCCAACTACTTGGGAGGCTGAGGCAACAGAATCTCTTAAGTCCAGGAGTTTGAGGTTGCTGTGAGCCGTGATGCCACAGCACTGTACCAAGGGTGACATAGTGAGACTCTCTCTCATACACATCCACAAAAAAAAAACTTGACACAAGAACTATTATAATGATCCTACCAGTAAGATTTAGTTCATTTTCTCCTGTTATCTGAATAGATTATGACTATCTTTACCAGTTTTGTGAAAATTCAGATGATCTACAGGTGAGCTGTCACTCAGTTGCCAAACTGTCTTAACCTTCTTTTGACCACTATTTATTTCCACTCTCCATTTCTGTGGCTTCTCACTAAGGAAAGAAAAAAATCAACAAAAGAAAAGTTTTCAAAAACAGCTATGTCTTTCCTTCCTTCTATAGCCAGTTAGAAAATCTTCATGTGAGGAAGATGAGACAAACAGGTCACACTTCCTGCTCTCAAGTACAGTCAAGAGAGGGAAGAAACAATAATATAAGCAACAATTTAATGAAAAAAATAAATGTTACAACAGAAATACTGAATGTGTTGGGGAGAAGGGAAGACAAGGAATCTAACAAGGTGGGGATTATAGAGTTGGAAAAGAATCATCAGAGATTGTGGCATTTGAACTGAGTATGAAACAAGAAGGAGTTAGTTGAGCAGACAAGGTCCAGGATGAAGTAATGACAGATGCATGGCTACCAATGGGTAAGTGTGCAAAATCTAAGGAAATGCAGTAACATAGTGTTCATGGCAAAAGGGAAGTGGGAAGGCATGGTGGTACATGGGCCAAAAGGGTGCAGGCCTGGCACAGAGGCTTCACGGACCACAGTAAGGCACTGAAGCAGACTCACACCTGTAATCCCAGCACTCTGAGAGTCCAAGGCAAGAGGCCTACTTGAGGTCAGGAGTTTGAGACCAGTATGAGCAAGAGTGAGACCCAGTCTCTACAAAAAAATAGAAAAATTAGCTGGGTATGGTGATGTGCACCGGTAGTCCCAGCTACTCAGGAGTCTGAGATGGAAGGATCACTCAAATCCAGTAAGTTTGAGGTTGCTGTGAGCTATTATGGCTCTTGCCACTGCATTATAGCCTAGGCAACACAGCAAAATCCTATCTCAAAAAACAAAAACAAAAACAAAAAAACACCAAAAACCCAACAAAGCAGGTGTTTAGCTTTAGAAGTTAAACTACTACTTTAATAAGTTGGGTCTTCACATCTAATAAGCATTTAGAAACAAGGGTCAGAAACTTAAGAAGGATCAGCTTGGGGGGCCTGCAGCTTCAGGGCCACACGTGGCCTTCGATCCTTGAGTGTGGCCTTCTGACTAAATCCAAATTTTACAAAACAAATCCTTTTAATAAAGGGATTTGTTGTGTGAAGTTTGGATTCAGCTCAGGGGCCACACGTGACCTTGAGCCGGCAGGGTCCCTACCTTGTAACTAGGAAGTAAGAAGAGGGCAGAGGGTGGAGAGTTCTAGTGAATCTAGTGAAAACTCACATCTAAAAAGCAGGTTGAAAAAAAACTTGAAAAGAGGGTGGGGCACAGTGGCTCACATCTGTGATCCCAGTACTTGGGAGGCCAAGGTAGGTAGATTGCCTGAGCTCACAAGTTTGAGAAAGGCCTGAGACAGAGCAAGACCCAGTCTCTAAAAATAGCTGGGCGTTGTGGCAGGTACCTGTAGTCCCAGCTACTTGGGAGGCTAAGGCCAGAGAATCTCTTGAGCCCAAGTATTTGAGGTTGCTGTAAGCTGTGACAGCATAGCACTCTACTGAGGGTAACAAAGTGAGATTCTGTCTTTAAAAAAAAAGGAAGAAAGAAAAACTTGAAAAGAGAAATATTCTCAATCTTGGAGCTGGGCCAGAGAGGTAGAATTAAAATTAAGACTATGTCACAGAAACTAAAGAGACAGTTCAAGAAAGCAAGCACGCTAAATCCCAATTTGATAAAGAATTTGTGGGCCAACTAATTACACAATGGGCTAAAAATCATTCTTTTACTGAAAAGTGTCCACTGGAATTCACAATTAGAAAGGCACTGGCAGCCTCTGCCAGAGCAGTTTCAGGGGAGTGATGAGAGTTTAGCTAAGGAGCTTAACAGGGGAAAGACATAAGTAGAGCAGCAGAAGTATGAGAGAAATTGCAGGTATACTCTATGCTGAGGGAAGACCATCCTTGGAGGTGACCTCAGTGTCCAGGTGCATGACCACTCTACCTTCTTAGCCTCATGTTTCCCTTCCTCCTCTAATCCCAAACCCTTTGCTCCCTCACACAGTCAAATCCTGAACCTTGTTGTCATTATCCTGGTCTTTTCCCCCTCATCTGTCATTTCTGGCTATAATTTCCACTCTTTTCTGAAGGAATGGCAAATAGAGAGAAAAAGGAAAGACAAGAAACCCAACCATCTAGAGAGAGTAGACACAAAGCCTGGGAGAAGAAGGGGGTGAATCTATCAGGCTATGGTCTGAAAACAGGACACAGATGATTAAGGTTTCAGAGGTGACACACCTCTGGTTCATGGGGTCCCCATGAAACATGGGTTCCAAAATTGTCTGCCATGGCTGGACTTAATGTATTATTTAATTATTAAATTGCTTACCTTTGATATAAGTTTTTTATAGCAGGTGGTCTGACTGGCAGCTGGAAAATGTGTTGTTCATCAAGAGGATTTTGTTTATAATATTTTATGCAGATTCTAAAAAAAAAAGAAAAAAGGAACCTCTTTTGGAAAAAAAGTCATTTGAGATAAAGGATTTTGGATAGTATAAACCCAATAAGAGAAACATTTTATTGAGAACCACTAACTGAAACATCAACAATAGTTTTAGGCTCGGTGCCTATAGCACAGCAGCTAAGGCACCGGCCACATACACCCAGGCTGGTGGGTTCAAACCTGGCCAGGGCCTGCCAAACAACAATGACAACTAAAACAAAAAATAGGCAGGCACTGTGGCAGGCACCTGTAGTCCCAGTTACTTGGGAGGCTGAGACAAGAGAATTGCTTAAGCCCAAGAGTTTGAGATTGCTGTGAACTGTGACACCATGGCACTCTACCCAGGGCAACATAGTGAGACTCTGTTCCAAAACAAAAAAACAAACAAACAAAAAACCCCACAATACTTTCAAAGCCACAAAAGTAAACAAACAAAACAGTCCATCCCGATAAAACTTAGGCTAACGTCATTTTCTCTAAAAGGAAACTTCATTTACTTAAAAAATAATAATAGTAGACATATTTCTTTTTCTTTTTTTTAGTTTTCTAATTTTTAGAGATACATAATAATGTTTCAGATAAGGACTAGAAACAAAAACCTCATAAAGAACACATTTCTTATAAATATAAAATATATTTGATTCCAAATATAGGCTTAAGTGGGGAGAAAGAAAAAAAGAGACAGAAGAGAGATAAGAGCACAGCCCCCTGGTTTTCAGAGTCTGGGGAATTAAAGAGTTTATTCATTTTTCTGATCTTTAATTAAAAAAAAAAACAACTTTGACATTCTATAAACAATAACAATTTCAAACTCTTCCCTTTACAACAGAGGCAAATTCTAATTTTGGAGAAAATGTAATGGTACATTTCCTTCCATAGGGAAAGGAAACCCTACCCTTCCACTGAACAGCTCCACTTACTGTCTGAGGTCCCAAATAGGGGCCAGCAGTCTATATATCAATATAAGGATTGTTCCAAACTATCTTTGTCAAAGTAATCAGAATCTCTAGTACAGCAATCTCTAAAACTACAGAAATGCTATTGACAGAGGACTGCTGATATTATTTGAGTCCATTCAGTTAGCATACAGATGGCTGGCAATGATTATTCTGACCCAAGTTTATAGGGATGTAAAGAATTTAAGAACAAATATTTATTAAGCACCTGTTATCAAGTACTTTATATACATTACATCATTTAGTCCTCACAACAAATGAGGTTATTAGATCCTTTTAATTGAAGAGAAAACAAGATTTAGTGAAGGAAATTTCCTAAGGAAGTTATGAAGTGATAGAACCAGTATCAAACCTGATTCCTTTTGAATCCAAAGCCTTCCCTTCCTATGATATTGCTATAGAACCATGCTACTGTAAAGACAGGGTAAACAGCTTCTATCCTAACTAGTAATAAAAAATGAACATATTTTGATTGTAACTATTTTGGAAGAGAATACATTTCTATGTAAGTAAACCATAGAGAAGTACTTACTGTGTTAAAGAAAAGAGGAGCTCATGTTGAGATTTAATAAAAGGCATGCAACTAACTAATATTTCTAGAATATGGTGGAGTTTTTGAACACGATAAACCTGTTCTTGTACATCTACTGATGGAGAAATGAAGTATTCCTGGAATGAAAAGTATAAGCAAAATAGGGATTACTATAATCCTTGGAAAGAACTTAAGTATGCTTGCTATATACCTAAGTTTGGAAGATTGATAATAAAGATTTTTTACACAGATCAGAGGCAACTATGTAGAATTTGCCACCTTTCAATATTTCTTCCAAAGTAAATTACAGTCATAAACTGCATTAACAATGTTTCAGTCAACAACAGACAGTCCAGTAAGATCACAATGGAGCTGAAAAATTTCAATTGGCCAGTGACTTTGTCACTATAATGTAGTCCAACATTATTCACATGGTTATTATGATGTTAATGTAAACAAACCTATTCTTCAAGAAGAGCCTCAGGCAGGTTCTTCAGGGGGTGTTCCAGGAAGAAGGCATTGTTTTTTGGGCTTTTTTTTTTTTTTTGAGACAAGAGTCTCACTTTGTACCCTAGTTGAGTGCTGTGAAATCACAGCTCATAGCAATCTCAAACTTGTGTGCTTAAGAGATTCTCTTGCCTCAGCCTCACGAGTAGCTGGGACTACAGGCGCATGCCACAAAGACTGGTTTTTTGTTTAAGAGATGGCGTCTTGTTCTTGCTCAGGCGGGTCTCGAACCTGTGAGCTTAGGCAATCCACCTACCTCAACCTCCCATAGTGCTAGGATTACAGGTTATGAGCCACAGCGCCCGCTTCAAAGAAGGCATTGTTATCATAGGAGATAACAGCTCCCTGTGTGTTACTGCCTATGAAGACTTTCCAGTGGAACAAGATTCAGAGGTGGAAGATAGTAATAGTGATGATCCTGACTTTCAGTATGCTGAGGCTAATGTGTAATGTCTTAGTTTTTAGCAAAAAAATAAATTCTCAAAAGTAAAACTAAGAATAAAAATATTAAACATAGAAGAAGCTATTAGCATAAGATATGAAGAAAATACTTTTATATAGCTATACAATGTGTTTATGTTTTAAATGTTACTATGAAATAGTCAAAAAGTCTACAAAGTTTAAAAAGTAAAAAAGTTATAGTAAGTGAATGTTAATTTACCATTGAATAAACTTTTTTTTTTTTTTGAGACAGTCTCAAGCTGTCACACTAGGTCAGCGGTTCTCAAACCTGTGAGTCAAGACCCACAGGAACTGTATTAAAGGGCTGCGGCATTAGGAAGGTTGAGAACCAGTGCCCTAGGTAGAGTGCCATGGCATCAGAGCTCACAGCAACCTCAAACACTTAGGCTCAAGCAATTCTCTTGCCTCAGCCTCCCAAGTAGCTGGGACTATAGGTGCCCGTGACAATGCCTGGCTATTTTTTTGTTGCAGTTGTTTAGCTAGCCACCCTTGGTGTATGTGGCTGGCAGTGTAACCACTGCCCGTAGGTGCTGAGCCAGAAAAAAATTTTTATAACTGAAGGGTAGCCTAAATGGACAGAGTTTACAGAGTCTGCTGTCATGTACAGTAATGTTCTTAGCCTTACTACTCACTCACTGACTCATCCAGAGCAACCTCCAGTCCAGTAAGTTCTACTCATGTTAAGTGCCCTATACAATATACCATTTTTAAAATCTTTTATACTGTATTTTTATTGTACCTTTTCCAGGTTTAGATATATTGTCATACACGAATACTTACCACTGTGTTAAAATTACCTACAGCTGTGGTCTCCAACTCCCAGGCTATGGGCCAGTACCAGCCTGTGGCCTATTAGGAACCAGGCTACACAGCAGGAGGTGAGAGGTGGCTGAGCAAGCAAGTTTCAGTCATATTTACAGCCACTCTCCACTCAGATCACTATCTTGAGCTCCATCTTCTGTCCCATCCTTCCCTCCCTCCCCTCCAGTCCAGGGCAAAAATTGTCTTTAATGAAACCATCCCAAGTGCCAAAGAGGTTGAGGATTGCTGGCCTACAGTATTCAGTACAGTAACATGCTGTACCAGTTTATAGCCTAGGAGGAATAGGCTACCTCTTATAGCCTAGGTGTGTAGTAGGCCATACCATCTAGGTTTACACAAGTATATTCAATGGTGTTCAAACAACAAAGAAATTGCCTACGGACACATGTCTCATAATGTATCCTCGTCATTACATGACACATGACTATGTCTACAGATATAGGTTTCCCTCAGTATCCATAGGGGACTGGTTCCGGGACCCACCTTGCATACCAAAACTCAGCAATGTTCAAAATCCCTCATATAAAATGGCACAGTTATTGACATATAAGCACCTTCTCTTATATGCTGTAAATCATCTCTAGGTTACCTATAATACCTAATATAATGTAAATGCCACATAAATAGTTGCTACACTATATACATGTTTAGTACAGACACAACCATCCATTAAAAAAAAATATCTTCCATCCATGGTTAACTGAATCCATGAGTGTGGAACCCATATATATGGAGGGCCAACTATACATATATATGTATGTATATTTTCTGCTAGAGTATGTTTCCACTATAAACATATACCCTTAATAAAATGTTTAAAATTTGAACGGTAAAAATTAAAACTCACAAGAATCCAATTGAGTCTTATTTTGCACAACAGACACAGAGTTTTTCTATCATGTATTATTATAAGAGACAAATGAGGATATAATTTCATTTTTAGAAGGATTTTCTAATGACTGTTAAATGTCAGTACTAGTGCTGTTCAATCTCCCAAAGTTTTTAAATTAATGGACAAGAAAAATACAACAAAGCAGATAATGATAAAACTCAGAAGTATCTTTTGAACCAATATATTAAAGATAATCATAAATTTCTTGGAAAATAATCCCTTAAATATAGTGGGTTAAGAGAATATAAAACAAACATTCCTTTATAGGAATCACAGAAAGGCATTCTGTAACCATTGCAGATAAATGAAATTTGTGATAGTACACTGGCATTGAGTAGGATACAACTATATGTCAGCATTATAAATTTATAGAGAATGAGAAGTGACACTGAATGGACTACCTTTCTGTCTTTCTTACTAGGCAGTAATAATTAAGGGCATTATCTGTCTTCTTTATCTGTCTCCTAGGATTTAGGACAGAGGCTGGCATACTATAGGCACTTAATAACTGTATGCAGAATGACTGAATACAAGGAAAACCTTAGAATTAAAAAAACCCAAAAAACAAAAACTCGGGTGGCACCTGTGGCTCAAAGGAGTAGAGCACAGCCCCATATACGGAAAGTGGTGGGTTCAAACCCGGCCCCAGCCAAAAAAAAAAAACCTCATGTTTGCTTCAGCAGCACATATACTAAAATTGAAATGATACAGAGAAGATTAACATGGTCCCTGAGCAAGGATGACATGCAAATTTGTGAAGCATTCCATATTTTTGCATCTTACAAGGGTACACATGAAATTTACTAGGTATAGAATATAAATGTCTTAACACAATAACTAGGAAAATGATATGAAGGCTATGTTAACCAGTTTGATGAAAATATTTCAAATTGTATATAAAACCAGCACATTGTACCCCATGATTGCATTAATGTACATAGCTATGATTTAATAAGAAAAAAAAAACTCACCAAATGATTCAAAGATGCAAGTTCCTGACCTATTAAGAAAGAACACACATATGCAAATAAGCTTTAGGTACTGTCTATTACATGTTAAGGAACCTAAGTAAAATTTTTCACAGTTTACCTATGAAAAAGATAGTCAAGCTATTTTCTCACAAAGAGTCAAATTTTCTGGCTTTATATTGTAAACATACACTAATATTTATTCTAAAAATGATCACAGCTTACCCGTAATAAAAAGTATTGAATATTTATTTATTGAGACAGAGTATCACTTTGTCACTATCTGTAGAGTGCCATAGCATCATAGCTCACAGCAACCTCAAACTCCAGGGCTTAAGCAATTCTCTTGCTTCAGCCTCCCAAGTAGCTAGGACTATAACCACCTGCCATAATGCCTGGCTATTTTTTTTTAGAGATGAGGTCTCGCTCTTGCTCAGACTGGTCTCAAACTCATGAACTGGGACTTCTAAGTGCTGGGATTACAGGTGTCAGCCACTGAGCCCAGCCCAAGTATTGGATATTTAAACAACTAAAAAGGTTTATTTACTACACTAATATCATAGAATCTCAAATGTTCAAACTAAAAACAAACAAACAAAAATTATAGCTATATTTAATTCATGCTTGTCTCATGGTGAATCAGGTACAAAGCCAGGACTACAAATGATTCAGGGCAAGCCAAAAACTATCTTTGGTTGATAACTATGATGTGTCTTTTGGTTGATAACTATGATGTGTCTTTTAAAAAAAAAGCTGGAGAAGAGACTTACCTATGAAAAAACTAATATAATCTTTCTTTAGTTTGTCCAAACCAATTTCCAAAAGCATTTGAACTGGAAGAGTTCCACTGAGAGAAACTGTGTCCATAGTTCCATGATAAGACTGATGAATGAGCTTACTTAGTAAACTGTTACTCCCACTATGGAGCTAAAAATCAAGAAAATTTTATAAAACCATAAATAAAAACATAAACAAATCCAGTAAGCAAAAGAGAAACTGCATTAGCTACAAGTTAAAAATTATAAGCTAACATCTTAGTCTCCTGATACTATAAATGATTTGAACAAAAAACTCCCCTGTTACAAACATGTCAGTCTCTAAAATGCCGTCTCTACTTTATCTGTTTAACTCCAAAGCAATTATGAAGGGTTTAAACTTATCACCCTTAGATATAATTCCACCAAAGAGAAATCAGAATTGGTTCTTTGAAGCTTTACAAGGAATTCTTCTCCTCCTGGCTGATTTAAGTTGCTATTGGACATCTTTTCCAAACTTGATCATCTTCATCTACCAAAATTTGTTGCTGTAGAAAAACAAACTCTCTCTCCCTCAATGATCCATGCATAAGGCATAAGGAACTCCTTATCAGCCACACTATCCAACACATTAACTTGACGATTTGCAAATTAAAAAACTCATGAAATTATAGATTTAATATGTATCCCAAGTGTTAAATCATTCATTTTAAATATACATATATTATGTCATTTCCTCACTACTTCCTAGTTTTCTACTTTAACTTCCATCATAATCTTTTGCATCATTGCATTAAAAACTAGTTTCCCTTCATTTGCACTCATAAGACATGGTAGGATTATACTTGTAAACATCTCACAAACAGAGCTCTCAAGAGAAATTCAATGGCCAAAACTAAAATGCTTAGAATCCTGACTGCCCAGTTAGGTAGCGCTTGCATGCCTTTGCTCTGGAGTGTACCTTTGGTTCACATCTATGGAAGTTTCTAACTTTTTTTTTTTTTTTGCAGTTTTTGGCCGGGGCCAGGTTTGAACCCTCTACCTCCAGTATATGGAGCTGGTGCCCTACTCCTTTGAGCCACAGGTGCTGCCCGCAGTTTCTGACTTTTATAGTTATGAATTCGTAGCCACAGTATTTAAAATAATTCCCATTAAATGAGAAATTCTTTTGTTTCTAACTTTTCACTTAGCTCTTTTTTTGGGGGGGGGGACAAGAGTCTCAAACTGTAGCACTGGGTAGAGTACCATGGTGTCATCAGAGCTCACAGCAACCTCCAACTCTTGGGCTCAAAAGATCCTCTTACCTCAGTTTTTCTATTTTTAGTAGAGACAGGGTCTCGCTCTTGCTCAAACTGGTCTTAAACTCCTGAGCTCAAGCAATCTACCTGCCTCAGCCTCCCAGAGCACTAGGATTACAGGCCTGAGTCACCGTGCCTGGCCCTCTTAGTTCTTTCTTGATTATAAAAGTAGCACAAATTTACTGTGTAAAATTAATAAGGTATTGAAATATATAATGTAGTTGAAAAAAGTCATTTGTAACCCTTCTACCAGAGGTAACTACCATTAAGATATTAGCATACTTGCTTCTAGATTTTTCCTTCCAAAATTTATATTGTTATACAACTGTATATACTATCTTTTACCTGAACATTAGAAGCATTAACCCCATATCACATGTCAGCATCATTTTTTTTTCTTTTTTTTTTTTTATTGAACAGTAACTATGTACATTAATGCACTTCTAGGGTACAGTGTGGGGTTTTCACATGCAATCTGAAATACTTCCATCAACTGGTCAACACAGCCTTCATGTCATTTTCTCAGTTATTGCTTTAAAACATTCACATTCTACTCTTAGAAAGATTCACCTGTCAGCATCATTTTTTAGCAACTATTACCTGAGTGGTTGTGTGGCTATATTATTATTTACTTAGCCATCCCATTAACAAGGGAAATTTAGGTCATTTATAATTTTTTGCTGCTATAAATGAGGCTATGATGACTACTGGATACATAAAGTCTCAATATATATTTATGTGTATGATTTAAGGTGAATCCTAACAAAGGAATTATTGGTTCAAAGGCCATGATACATTTTGAAGATCTCAATACATCATCCAAATTACTTTTTAGAGAGTCCCCAATTTGTATTCACATCAATAGTCCATGAGAATACTCATTCACAGCAACAGTTAACAATGACAATGTTAGTAGCTAACACATACTGAGCATTTAACTATGAGCTAGGTACTAGATGCTTTATGTGCATTAAATTAATCTTGAAACAACACTATAAGTAAGGTAGGTACTGTTCCTACTTCTATTTTGCAGATGAGGACACTGGGGCACAGAAAAATAAAGGGACCTGCCCAAGTTTACATGGCTAGAAAGTAGCAGAGTTGGAATTAAAATAGCAGTCTGCTCCAGAGCCTATGCCTTTAACCACCAGGCTATGCTTCTGAGAAAATGCTCTAACACACAATACTAAACCTACCCATGGCTGGATGTCACCACGTTGTAGACTCTGGATGATCAATGTGAAACACTTTACCAAGTCCTGATATGAAATCACACCTTGGAAAACAAGTCAAACATTATTTTCAGGGTACTTCTGTAGAATAAATATACCATTAATCTTAAGGATACATGAATGAAGCAGAAGACAAGAATCTGTACTTTATGGGTGAGCAAAGGGACAAGAAATTAAAGAGGCAAAAACAAAGGAATGCATTTCTGAAGGAAAAAAATCAAACTCGGAATGACAAAAAATAACACAGTAAAATATTTAAGAATATCTTTTCTTTATTCTAAAATAATTTCACTAAGGTATATATATTTATTCACATAAATATAGCATAAAAACTACTTTAGTTTTATACTTAGAAAGGCTTATACTTATCTTGGCCAGGCAGTGGTGGCTCACACCTGTGAACCTGGCACTCTGGGAGGCCAAGGTGAGTGAACTGCTGGAGCTCAGGAGTTCAAGACTAGCCTGAGCAAGAGCAAGACCCCATTTCTACTAAAAATAGAAAAACTAGCCAGGCCTCGCAGTCTCAGCTACTTGGGAGGCTGAGGCAAGAGAATTTCTTGAGCCCAAGAGACTGAGGTTGCTGTGAGCTATCACAACCAAAGCACTCACAACTTAGGGCGACACAGTGAGGCTCTGTCTCAAAAAAAAAAAAAAGGAAGGATCCTGGACTTGGTTTGGTGTCTGGGGAAGGGGGGAAAGCCAGGAGAAAAGAACAGACTCTACACATTGCCTTGTCTTAATATAAGCAGAATATGCCAATGCATAAACAGAAATGGACTAGATAAAGTAAGTGTGGAACCAGACTTCCACATAAGACTAGTGATACAGTTACAAAAAGAAAAAGATTAACGATACTAACCATATTATTTCCGAAAGACTTAAAAAAAAAAAACCTAAGAAATAACAGGAAAAATTTTAATCATGATGGACACTTACTACTGCTCATTTTGCACCATAGTTGCTCAGCAAAATCAAGATCACTCCGTACTTTAAAGAGACGCTTGACTGAACGATCAACTGCAACAGTGTCATGCTTCACTGTCTGAAACAGAAACAAGCTTCAGAGAATATCATTTTTTTAAAATTTAATTTAATTTTATTTTTTTTGAGACAGAGCCTCAAGCTGTCCCCCTGGGTAGAGTGCTGTGGCATCACAGCTCACAACAACCTCCAACTCCCAGGCTCAAGTGAGTCTCCTGCCTCCACCTCCCAAGTAGCTGGGACCACAGGCGCCCGCCACAACGCCCAGCCATTCTTCTGGTTGTAGCCGTCATTGTTGCCCGGCAGGCCCAGGCCTGACTCTAACCCACCACCCTAGGTGTATGTGGCTGGCGCTCTAGCCACCTGAGTCACAGGCGCGGAGCTATCATTTTTTTCTTTTATGTGAAACAATTTAACCTTTCAAATGCTGTTCTGAGAAATTATGGATTCATCAACATACAAAAAGATGTGAATGCATTTTCTATAACTTCACTCACAAAGGAGGAGACACAAATCAATACACAGTGGAAAAACTGGACCTTTAAAATTGTTTTAAAATTTTAATGTCTAAGAGTAAGTATTCAGTTTTCCTTCCATGCAAAAAATTATTAAATTACTTTTGTCGCCATTTTCCTCTTCGTCAAATGAAAACATACTTAGTTAATGTAATATATCATCCTATGGCATAGTAACAAATCATCTTATATTAAGATACTATAATAATGTCATCTTATAGTATATTAACATATTCATTATTTTTCTGCATTTCAGCAACTAGAAATACATATGTATTAGCTCTCTCTCTTTTTTTTTTTTGAAACAGAGTCTCAGTCTGTAACCCTTGGTAGAGTGCCGTAGCATCATTGCTCACAGCAAACTCAAACTCTTGGGCTCAAGAGATTCTCTTGCCTTAGCCACCCAAGTAGCTGGGAATACAGGCACCCTCCACAACACCTAACTATTTTTAGAGATGCGGTCTTGCTCTGGCTCAGGCTGGTCTGGAACCTGTGAGCTCAGGCTATCTATCCACCTTGGCCTCCCAGAGGGCTAGGATTACAGGTGTGAGCCACTGCACCTGGCCTGTATCAGCTCTCTTTAAAAATATGTATTAGCACAGTGGCTCACACCTATAGCCTTCTAGCACTCTGGGAGGCCGAGGTGGGTGGACTGCTCCAGCTCAGGAGTTTGAGACCAGCTTGAGCAAGAGTAAGACCCGTCTCTACTCAAAATAGAAAAACTAGCTGGGCATTGTGGCTTGTGCCTGTAGCCCCAGCTACTCGAGAGGCTGAGCCAAGAGAATTGCTCAAACTCAAGAGTTTGAGATTCCTGTGACTGATGAAGCCTTAGCACTCTATCCAAGAGGAGGGGTGAGACTCCGACTCAAAAGAAAAAATTATCAGTTCTTAAGGAAAATGATAACCAGTGCTGACATGAAAGGCCAACAAAAACTACTCATAAAATGCTGCCTTGACCATATCAGATCCACTTGAAAGATACCACTACAACCAATTTTTTTTTTTTACTACAACCAAATTTTAAAAGCTATTTCAGTGTAATTTTCTAAACTGAAAATAATCACTTACCTCTGTGTCTTTTTTTGTAGAATCACCAAATCCATCCAGCTTATTTAAATCTAGAAAGTGGTAAAAGTTTATTAACTCTTCATTTCATTTTTCAGTTTTCCAAATTACTTCCATCCTATTTTCAAACGAGAAACGGGAATAACAGAAGTATAACTAGGGATTTTAGCAAGTTACTGAACTTTCCAGCGAAGGCAGAAATAGATACCTATCAGGAAGGGGTGTGAGGATGAACTGAGGTAACAAGAAAGCCCCTGGCACACAATGTTGGGCACATACCAGGCACTCAAAATATTACTGTTTCATCCCTCTCTTCCTACAATCACATATATGGTTATGCCATATAAATTTTAATCTTATTAATTTTTAGAATTATTTACATCTTTACATTAGCACTTTAGAATAAAAGCTGCCCTTCTGAACATAACAGATCTCACACCTTTGTATGTGTGTATACACGTACTGACTAAAAAGAATAACAAGCCTAATGAAACAACTTATAAAATAGTAAGTATAAATTCTCAGTTGAGAAAAACAACATACCATTCAGAAATTCCTGCACAAGTTCAACAGCAGATTTTGTTTCCAGAGGCTCGAGCCATTCAGTCACACCAATCCTCAAACCATCAGCCAAGACCTATAGCAGATTTAAAATGCCCAAAGACTTCTTAGCAGAAAATATAGTTTAATCAGTAAGGATATAATTATAGGAACATTTCCTGAATGTTTATCAGATGCCAGGCAATGTGGTAGTGATTTATATATATTGTATATTATTTAATCCTTATATATTATTTAATCCTAATAAAACTCTAAGAGGAAAATACTATTATCTTTGTTTTAGTGAAGCTATTAGAGGTTCAGTACTTGCTCACAGCCACACAATTAGTAACTAACAGAGCCAAGACACACATCCAGTGGACCAATTTCGAAGATGGCGCTCTGATCTATAATCCAATGCCCCGGGCACAAATTCTAGAGGATTCAACACTGAGGATAGCGGGCTTGCCCTAAAGATCCTTATGATTTTGGTCAAGAATGACAGATGGTACAGATGAAATAATATGGAAATGATAAATGTGAAAAGGAATAGAAGTTTACATAAAAACAATATTAATGTGTATGCACATACATATACTACCTAACAGAAATAATGAAAGGCTGATAGGCTCCAACAGCCAGAGAACAATGTGAAACTTCAGTTGCAACTCAAACATAGTAACCATTGGCTATAGAGCAGGGAAGGAACATGGAAGAAGAGGAGGATGGAAGCCAGGCGATGGTTCATGCCTGTAATCCTAGCACTGTAAGAGGCCAAGGTGGGTGGACTGCCTGAGTTTACAGATTTGAGACCAGCCTGAGCAAGAGTGAGACCCTGTCCCTAAAAATAGCCAGGTGTTGTAACGGGAGCTTGTAGTTCCAGCTACTGGGGGGCTGAGGCAAGAGAATAGCTTGAGCTCAAGAGTTTGAGGTTGCTATGAGCTATGATGCCATGGCACTTTACCAAGGATGACAAAGTGTCACTCTGTCTCAAAAAAAAAAAAAAAAAGGTGAAGACAATGGGATGATCCCAACTGTAGAACTGTGGAACTGTGGAAAATATGATCAGAAGAGGCTCGGTGCTTGTGGCTCAAGTGGCTAAGGCGCCAGCCACATACACCTAAGGTGGCAGGTTTGAATCCCCAGCCCGGGCCTGCCAAACAACTATG